CTGGCAGGTCATCCCATTCCACCCTTGCTCTCTCAGATCATCTACGGCAGCCAGAGGGATCCTTCGAAGATGGAAGTTAGATCATGTTGTTCTTTCACTCAGAACCTCCAATGGCTCCCACTTCACCAAGAGTAGACACTGAAGACCTACCTGGTTCATAAGACACTCATGATCGGGCTCCCCACTGCCCCCTTACCACATGTCCTACCTCTCTCCCCTCCCATTCTGGACTCACTAGCCTCCTTGAATTGGATGCCAACCATATCCAATCTCAAGGCCTTTTCATTTGTTGTTCTCTCCAGAATGGGATGTGCTACTTCCAGATGTCCACACAGCCTGCTTCCCACCTCTCCTATTCACTCAAAAACCACTTTCTCAGGGAGGCCTTCCTTGAACACTATCTGAAGCAACCCCTCTCCTGGTGTCCCTACTCCTCCTTTCTCTGCTTTATTTTTCTCCTTAGCAACAGCACCCAACAACTCCTTAATCTTCTATTGTCTTATTATTCCCATGAGGGCCTGGAGGTTTGTCAGTTTGGTTCACTGTTGGATCCCAGGACCCACAACAGAATCCAGAACCTAAAAGGCATTCAGTGAACCTTTGCTGAATGAAGCGATAAATGAAAGGTGGCCATTTGGATGGTTTTCCATCTTTTGCCACTAAACCATATACTGTAATGACCAATATTATGCACAGGTCATTTTGCTTGTGAGGGACTATATCTCTAGGACAAAAAACTGGAAATGGAATTTCTGGCTCAAAGGACATGAACAGTTATCATTTTGAGAAACATTTTCCAAAAAGTTGTGGTGGTGAGGAAGTCTACCAGAATCTACTACTCTGTGCTGAGCAAGTCACATGGTACATTGCGTGGCACGCCATGCTGACTTGGGATTTTCCCTGAATGGAAAGAAAGTAATCAGGAGAGACGCTGTGCATCAACATGAATTACTGTCCCATCAAAACTGCTAGAGGGTCAGCATGGTATCCTGGCCACATTGCATTTGCCACACATTCAGTCACTGCTTGAGGGCATGGGCTGAAAGTCCAGATCCTATGGCTTAGATCCTTTTTTTTTTTTTCTTATGTCTTTATTTTATTTTGAGAGACAGAGAGCGAACAGGGAAGGGGCAGAGAGAGAGGGAGACACAGAATCTGAAGCAGGCTCCAGGCTCTGAGCTGTCAGCACAGAGCCCAACGCGGGGCTCAAACCCACAAACTGTGAGATCATGACCTGAGCCGAAGTCAGACGCTTAACCAACTGAGCCACCCAGGCGTCCCTGCTTGGATCCTTTTTGGTACTGGAAGACTTTAGAAGAGGACTTTCAGCATATCCACGGAGAGCCTATGCTTTTTTAGGCGGATTATGAGATGCCCTGGCTGAAAAGCATCTTGGACTCTGCCATGGCTACCAAATGGCATGACCCCTGGAGATGTCATTCACATTGTGGTCACTCTAAATGGAGCAATGCACAGCCTGGGAAGCTGTGTGCAATGACCCCAGCATTCTATAGCACTGCTCTAGGTCAAGGACTTGAAATGGTTCCAGGGTTCCCCATCTCATCGATCCTATGCTGGTACAGTCACAGCTCTGCAACAGTGGTCTTCCATGTATGGACAGTCGAATAACTGTCCACCCTCACCCAGCCACCATTACTGGCCTTACCTGCAGCACAGGCTGTCAAGGAGATCCCTGATGGATGAGTTTGGCCTTTGAGGCCCTTGGGTCTCCCCTTCCCCGTTCAACAAACACATCCATCCAAGGTCAAAGGCAGGAGCTGCCCCAAAGAACTGCTCAGTGAGCAAGATCGCAAGATGAGCCCAGAGGCTCTATCCAGACTGAAAGTCACACGAGCAAGATGGGCCAAGCACCACACCTGCTGGGTCTTGGAAACCTAGTTCCTCCAGGTTACTTTATTTTCTTTTTCTTTTTTTTTTTTTTAAATTTTTAAAAATATTTTTATTTATTTCTAGGAGAGAGAGAGAGACAGCGTGAGCAGGGGAGGGTCAGAGACAGAGGGAGATACAGACTCTGAAACAGGCTCCAGGCTCTGAGCTGGCAGTCAGCACAGAGCCCGACGCGGGGCTCGAACTCACAAACCATGAGATCATGACCTAAGCGAAAGTCGGACGCTTAACTGACTAAGCCACCCAGGCGCCCCTCCTCCAGGTTACTTTAAACTTCACTTCGTGGAGGCTCTGGCCCCTATAAATGCTAACATGACAGCACACAGTTTCCTGAACATCCAGGTAATGGTTTTGGAGAGGAATGTCCTCTTGTTCAAAGTACACATCAAACGTCTTACATCTATCTGATTGGCGGAAATTGAAGTCTAACAAACGTGGAGCAACAGAGACTGCCCTATACAACTGGTGGGGGTGTCGACCATTGCCACCACTTTGTTGTGTATTTTTTTTGTTTATTCATTTTTGAGAGGCAGAGAAAGACAGAGCATGAGCAGGGGAAGGACAGAGAGAGAGAGAAAGGGAAAGAGGGAGACACAGAATCTGAAACAGGCTCCAGGCTGAGCTGTCAGCACAGAGCTCGATGCAATGCTCGAATCCACGAACCGTGAGATCAAGACGTGAGCTGCAGTCAGACGCTCAACCGACTGAGCCACCAAGGCGCCCTGTTGCTACCACTTTGGAGAGCACTTTGGCCACCACCTAGTAAAACTGAAGGTATGCACATCCTTTGGGATGGTAATTCTACTCCTGAACACGGAAGCCCTTAAAAAAAAAAAAAAAAAAAAACTGTGCACGGAAGGCCTGTGTGATAATGTTACTGTAGCATTACTAGCAAGAGTGAAATCTGGCAACAATGTAAGTGACCATGAACTAGAGAATGAACTAATAAAGTTTTGTGCAACGGTGGCATCCTATCCACCAGGGAAGATGGACGCACTAGAGCTACAAAAGCACTATATATAAATCTCAAATAACAGTACAGAACAAAAATAAAAGCTGAAGCAAGTCACAGGAAGTTGCATATAATATGATGCCACTTACGTAAAGTTGAAAAGTATGCACAAATGCTACATGTCATTTATGCACACACAGATATGTATTACGAGTTAAAAAAAATCTTTTAGGAGAATAAACCCTGAGTTCAGGATTATGCTTATCTTTAGGGGAGGAAAGAAACAGAATCAGGTGAGTCTGTACAGGCACTTTTTATGTGTAATTTTGATCTCTTAAGAATGTTTATTAGAGTATTATATATGTGTGATTACTTGACTGAAGTATTTCATAATTAAAAAGATGTTTTAGGGGCGCCTGGGTGGCTCAGTTTGTTAAGCATCCGACTCTTGATTTTGGCTCAAATCATGATCTTGCGGGTCATGAGTTCGAGACCCCCATCAGCCCAGAGCCTACCTGGGATTCTATCTCTCTCTCTCTCTACCCCTCGCCTGCTTGCTCTCTATCCCTCTCTCAAAAAAAAAAAAAAAAAAACTAAAAAAATATATATATATATTCTAAAGAGCATCTGAATCAAACGGGGAGTGGTACCGTGTGTGCTGGGACCAGAAGCCAACCGCCGAATCTGTTCCATATTGGGCTCTCTCAACTGGATGCCACCAAGGGGCCCATCCGGAGACCTGTGTGAATCTCCCCATTAATGACACCTCCAGAGTATACAGTTTCCTCATAAGGCCCGGTAATGTATAACTAAAAGACTCAAGTGAAAACGTTAGACCGATCATCATTCTAGAAATACAGTTGAAACAATTCATACAAACTGTTGGCTTTCTTCTCATAGCCATCCCTTGCCCTCCCCAAAGGAACCAGGTTCATATTTTTTTCTCTGTCAGACATCACATGCTCACAACAACCTTATGCCAGCCACGTGGCTAGCAAGCCCTCGGGAGGCTCGCTAAGCTCTTCCTAAAGGGGACCTCTGTGGTTGTTCACATAGAAACCTCAGATGTTACAGCCAAGAATGCTGGGGGCCAACTCAGTCCCTCTCTGATGAATATGGAGTGTGTCCTGCCCATGGCCACCCTCCAAACATCAGGGTCTGTTCCCAGCTGCAGAGCAGAGCTGGGAGGGGATGGAGATTTCAACCCCCAGCAGATCCAGATCCTTCTCCCAGTGTCATCCGTATGAACTTTCTGTGTGGGCACAGATGTGTCATGGCACTGTTAGGGGCTCAGGACGCTAGGGTTCTCACCCATGCCCGTAGACTGGAGTCTTACCAGTGAGCCAGGTGCTCACTGACCAGCTGGCATTTGGAGGCGGGCCTCCCCAGCCTTGCCAACTGGCATTACTAATGTACATTGCTTGGGCACCTTGAAGGGCATTCCGATCTGCATTTGAACTCCCCTTATTCCTCAGGGGACTGGCTCTGCCAGCTGTGGCTGGTGGTCTGAAGGGGAACAGAGAGGTGAGGCCATGTGATGGGCAAAGGCCATCATTAAGAAACCCATGTGTATGTATTAGGGATGCCCAGTGCCCCGCTAGAGTCCTATGAAATGTGCACAGTGGTCCCTCACTGGGCTACTGTGGGGATTAAATGAGAGAAGATGTGGATGGATTTGCTAAGGGCAGAATCACTGCCCACGTGGCCTATTACCTTGAATAAAATAGAAACACCATTCCCCTGATTTGGGAAAGCTGTGATTCCCGGAGGGGAGATGTCTTTTCTTAGGCATCTTCTTGGCTCCTGCTGTCACAGCTGCACTGATGGAGCCCGCCACTGCTCCCTGCCCATACTTGGTGCTTTTCCGCACTTGCTCATGCGGTTACTTTGACTGCAATGTCCTACATTGATATCGGATCTGCTCCCAGGACATCTCCTCCCTGAAGCTTCTCCTGATTTCATCCAAATTGATGTGATGTCCCTCTCACTGGGACCTTGAGGGCAGGGCCCATGCCCCCTGCCCCAGGGCCCGCCCCCGGGACCTGTGACTATGCCTGACACATAACAGGTCTCAGTGAGCACTAAACTGCATAAAGCTGGCAGGGCTCAGTGGAGGGGTCAGTGTCCTCCAGACCCTTACCTTGGGGGTGAACATGTGTAGGATGCCATCGACGGCCCCTCGCAGCAGCAGCCCCCGGACCAGGAAGCAGGCCAGCACCACATAGGGGAAGAGGGAGCTGAAATACATCACCTGCAGAGAAGACAGGGACCCGCTGTGGGGCAGAATGCCTCCTGCAGCCGGCACCCCCTCCCTGCTCGCAGCGGGGGCACATGAGCCTCCTTGATGGCAGAAGAAAGTAAATCCCTGGGACCCCTGGGCACAGGGCCAACCCGTCCCCCCCACATCTGGCCTTGAGCCAAGGCAGGAGCACAGACAAGCTGGAGTCTGTGTGGCTGTGCCTGGGGCCAGTTTCTTCCTTTCAAGAGCCGCAGGGCTGGGTCTGCAGCCTCCCCACCCCCAAGGGCTGCCTCAGGGGAAAGGAACCCTCTTCTCTCCCCTCTTCATGTTTTCATGTCTCATGCCTGCTTTACTATCCTTGACTGCAGGGGACTCCCTAAGGATTTCCCCTGTCCTTGGAACTTGACACATGCCATCCAGGAGGTTACGGACCCGGCTCCAGAGTGAAAACATCAGCAAAGGTCCTGCCTCTTGTGATCAAACATTGTGTGCTGTTTTCTAGCGTGTGCATTTTTTGCACACTTCTAGCTGTGCCTGGCAGAGAGCCTCACACAAAGGAGATGCTCACAGAATGTTTGCGGCACTGAAACAAATCAAGAGGGCTGTTTGGGCAAGACAGTGTTGAAGGCAGGAGAGTGTGTGTGTCTGGAGCCAGACCACCTGAGTTCTGATTCTGGCTCTACCTTTACCAACCACGTGACCTTGAGCTATTCACCTAACCTCTGTGTGCCTCCATTTTCTCATCTATAAAATGGGTATAATGCTTCCTAACTCACAAGGTTGTTGTGGACCAGAAGCATCCAGACATGTGGCAGTGCCTGATAAGTGCCACGAAGTATCAGCTACTATTTGTGGCCTTTGGTGGTAGCTGAGAACACTCTACCTTTCCAAGGCTTGGCTTCCTTACTCATGAAGTCTGTTATAAAAGTTGGAGCCTTGGACAGATGGCCAAGGCTCTAGTTCCAGCTCTGGGACACACTGGCTGTGTGATCTGAGGTGAGGTGCTTTCCCTGTTCTGGGCCTCAGTTTACTCATCTATAGAATGAGTAGATTAGGCCACGGGGTCCCTAATGTCCTTCGCAGCCCGACTGTCTGTGAATACCGTACATGCCAAAGAAGAAAGGGCTTGAAAGGGAGCTGAGCTCCTGGGAGAAGGTGTGTGGCGCTGGCTGGACTGCGCCCTGGAGGAGGTAGAGAAGGAGAGCAGTGGAGAGCTGCTGCCGAGGCCCCAAGGTGCCTGCACCCACAGCACCCACCTGCTCAAAGAGCCCTTTCATTTACACAGGGCCAGCTGCTGAGTCTTACCAAAAATTGCTCAGAGGCAGAATCTTCTAGGGCTTTTGCTTGGGAACCTAAAGGGCTAGGATGTAGACGAATGTCGCTGGGTCAGCTCTCCCAGCTTTCCTTCCTGTTAAAGTCTGCAGAGCAGGCCTGAGTTATCTGAGCAGAGGTGGCTGGGGTTCAAAGCAACAATTTTCCAGAAGCCCACTCCTACCCCCTCCTGGTGGGCAATAATGCACCAGGGTTACCCCGTCGCCTCCACCAGGGGTGGGGGGAGGGCTGGGCCATCATCCTGAGCCACTCAGAGGCCAAGCCCACCCAACAGACCCTGCGTAACCCAGAATCCTCAGCCCCCTGCCTTCCACGCTCTTTGACCACCCCCTGTGTGGGTCTGAGTCCCTTCCTGACTCACCTTCCCAGAGGACTGGATGCCCTTGACGACGGCCATGCCCACGATGCTCCAGGCCACCAGGAGACACAAGGTCATCTTCCAGTTGAGGCCGCCGCTCTCTGAGATGGAGTTGGAGATGTCCAAGGCCTCTCGGTACCAGAAGTAGGTGGTGGCTGAGCTCTTTTCACACTCTGCCTCTACCACTGGAACAGCAGCAGAGGCCACAGTATCTCAGCTGGAGCTCTGGGAACCCTCCCCTGCCTGACCCCCACCCAGGGCAGCAGTGGGCAAGGAGCCGGCTGAGTGTGGGTAGCAGGGAGGGGCTGTGCTTCTTCTGGGCTAGCCAGGATCTGGCAGACCCTGAGGACTCCAGATGGGGTCCCCGGGGGCTGCGGGGCCCACTGATCCGGCTGTATTCTCACACACGTCACCCTCTGCCTGCCTCTGTTGGCGGAGGACAGCAAGGGTGAGGCAGAACTGGCCTCCAGGAAAGGTCCTGAGCTAGGAGCCAGACATCTGGATTCTCAGCCAGGATCCTTGGTTAAATCAGTAGTGCAACCACAGGAAAGTTGCTTCTGGACCTCAGTTTACCCCTCTGCGAGATGGGTTACATCATCTAGACTTTTACAGGACTGGCATGCAAATGAAGGCTGTTTCCAGATAGGATGGTGTTAGAGTTACACAGGATGGTAACAACTAAACACAAGTCACAACTTGCAGAGTTTTCCCTATACTCATTTCATTCGATCCCCGTGAGAACTCTATGGGTCAGGCTGGCAAGGACCATCAGAACAGGAAATGCGGATCAGGTAGGTGTCTTATTCAAGGTGACACAGCAAGTCAACGAAGTCCCAAATCTGTGCCTAAGCCTCTTCGGCTCCTTGGACCCCTTCCTGGGACAGGCTGGCCGGGGAACCCAGGTGGTTGTACTCAGGGGGTCCCATACTTGCCTGCCACAGTCCCATTCCTGGTGACAGGACATTCACTCCAGGGCAGTGGGTACTGGAAGGACTTGAAGAAGTAGAAAATGCTCCAGCCGATGATCACATTATAATACAGCCCAACAAAGAGGCAGACCTGGGGACAATGGTCCATGGTGGGGGGAGGGGTCATGAAGGCAACTCCACCCCACCCCCATTCCCCATCCGAGGCCCAGGCTCTGGCTGACTGCACACAACACTGTTCACAGTCCTGCAGGAAGAGGAGGAGGAGGAGGGGAAGGGGGAGGAGGGACGGGGCACTGAGGGCCTCCTCCTAATCCTCCCTTCATCTGGTATTCAGGGAATCCACAGAGGAATGTTTCAGATATTAAAGATCTCTCCTTTAAGCAATGCACTCTTAAAATGTTAATCCTTTCCAGTTTGAAATTCTTCTAAATGCTTGAAGCACTTCGCCATCATTTCCTGATGACTCAGGATTACAATTCCAGAGCCGCCCCTCCAGGATGTTGAGGCCCCCACGCCTTTGGCCTCTATAGACAATGGCCCCAGACTGCAGTGTTCCTTGAGGTTTTGCGGATGCTTCCTCTTGGCTTCCTACGTCCTCCCTCCTCTCAGGACCCCACTCTTTGGTACTGTCAGCAGCCTGCCTCCAGAAAGATGTCACTTTTCATGTCTTGGAAACACAATCGCCACCCTTGGTAGAATTGCATTTGAAACAGGAGTGCGTGGATTCCGACCGAGGTACCGGAGGTTTCTCAGAAAGCAGTGCTCTTACACACGGGGATTTGCTGATTCCACTCTGGATGCTGAGAGGCCCCTTCCCCTTGGGGCGCTGCTCTGTAATGCTGACCAGCGTGGGTGCGCAGGGCCCTTTGCTGCATCAATTTCACCGTTTGCTGGTGTGCAGGAGCAGACACTCCTAGGCACACCTTAACAGCAACACAGAGGGAGAGAGACCCCCACTGCTTTTACCTGGGTGCTTTCAGACCAAGGGGAAAGCCCTTATGCTCACGTGCATGCACATGGCCAGCCCCAGCAGAGTATGCTGTATTTGGCCCCCGTCACCCTGGGCAGAGGTGATACTTGCCATGACTATGGGAGCCACACAAACCGTCTCCCAGTCTCTGCCTAAGACAGTTTGGGCTGGCCGTGCTGCCAGGCCCAACAGAATCCTCAGTCCCTTCCAGAGGCAGACGTGAACATGGGCACCTGTGGGATTTGCCCTTAAGGGAAGCTCAATTTCCTCATCTGGAGGGCTAAGTAGAGCCTCACGGAGTTCCCCATCTGGGCCCATGGGATCTCCGCAGCTCCCGCTGCTCCAAAGCCTCCCGGGTCAGCCACGGGCTCTTGTCTGAGACCTTCTCCAGCTCTGCTCACATGCACAGCAAAGTGGCAAGGAGCCCCCGTGCCTCAGGACTGCTCTTCCCGTGCCATGCACGCGCCTGGCTAAAATACTCCTCAGGCAAGGAAAGAGGAAGGGCCTCCCGCATGGGAGCTGATGGGCTGGTAAGCACGGGTATCAGATTGGTCCCCGTGTCCATGGAGAACTTTGGCTAAGATGTCCCAGGCACCCCCTTGTGACTATGTCCCAGCCTTTCCTCCTTGGGATTAATTCCCAATATCATATCCTCTTCAGGCAGTAGAGCTAACTTTCGATTTAGGAAATATGTGGCCCCAAGACACCAGCTGGTGGCAATCCTCATGTCGAGGGTCTCTCTTCCTGCCCTCAACCCGGCCCCAGACTCTGCTCTAGAAACCCCATACTCCAAAGTGGCCCCTCTGCCCCCTGGGTAGTGCCCGGGGTCTGCTTCCACTCACTATGCAGCTGGAGAAGCCGATGCCTCCCAGGCGGGGGCACACATAGTGCCACACGCCAATGCTGCCGCGGCGGATCCTCTGGCCCACAGCCAGCTCCAAGAAGAAGAGCGGGATCCCGATGATGACCAGCAGCACGAGGTAGGGGACCAGGTAGGCACCTGGGGAGGGAAGAGGAATGTCATACGGTGTTCAGAGCACAGCACCAGGGTAAGGGGGACAGCCACGTCCTACAGACTTGCCCACACCTCCGATTCCCCCCACCCCAAAGTGCCAGCAGTCCTGTGCTCCTCCAGAAATGGTCTGCCTCCTACATGTGACCCGCCACACACTGGCACCCCAGGCCCTCCTTTTTCCCAGTAACTGCTCTGCCCTGAAATGCTAAGGGAGGATCGAAACACATGTCCGTGCCTCTTGCTCACAAGATTAGATTCAGAGATGGACAGACAGATAGGCGGATGCTGTACTCTCAGGAATCCACATGTCAAATTACAAATAGACATGTTCTCACGTCCTGACGTACTCTGTGGACACTTGTTTACACCCCCTTCCACCCACAGAGAAGTGGACCCTGCTCATTCGCCTCCCCCAGAGGCACAGCTTCCCCGCCCCGGCACTGCCCTCCTTGCATCTGAAACAGATGCTGACACAGCAGACCGGGCAGCTTCAGGGAGAGAGGGTCCAACCAACATCACCATTAATCTACAGCTAATTGGGAGGAACGAGAGAGAAGTTAGCAGTTCAGAAGAGCATAGCCGAGAGGATCATAATGGGTAGACAGAATAGATCTTGACAAAGATTCCGGATGATAAATTAAACTCACTGTCCCTGGCCTCACTGCAGACACGATCTCAATTCCAAGTGACAGGGCATTTAGCAGGAGAATTAAAATCGTGTCTGGACACAGACGAGTGATCTCTGCTGAGAGATGTGCCAGCAGCCTAGTCCTATTAGCGATGCAGTCAGATAGCCCCAGTCACCAGTGCCGTGATAGACACCCCGCATCCCCAGACCAAGCCCTGCCAGCTGGGAGCCTCCAGAAGACCCCCAGCCACACTGCTGTGGGCCCATAACATGACAACCCACACGTGTCCGAGCCGCCAACGAGCCTGAGGGATCGGGCATTTCCCAGGCACAGTATCCGGCATTGGCAATGGTCAGCTGGGGACTGCAGGCCTGCCCTGTGCTAGGCACAGGCGGTGGGCGGACAGTTGAGTGAAAGAAGGCACAGATGCTATCCCAGGAGAGCTCACAATCTGGACGGCAAGACCCTCAGGTTCACACGAGCCCATGTGTACACACACACACACAACCACACACACACACACATGGACCAGTCACACAGAGCCAGCTGAGCACACGCATGCTGAGGGATGGGTCAGGGTCCCACACAACTCATCAGGCAAGTCCCCCAGGGGAGGTAACCCACCAAACCTTACACATCGGCATCTAATTCATTAAACACACACATGCACATAGTCACACATACACATAAATTCTGCGCATCGCTAACCGGCGGCCCCCGACCCTGGTGCTGAAAGAAGGGTGGGCTCGAAGGACTCCCGGTTCTGTCTCCTGGTCTGGTGTTCCGGGAAATGAAAGAAGAGAGAAGTGACATGCAGAAAAGCAAAGGGACACAGCCTCACTAGTTTTGTATTTCACCTACATATCCTTGGGCGGTGGAAGATGTGCAGAAAAATGGGTTTTGGGGTTCAGAAGAGTAGGCTGGCATTTTCTGTGAATGTTTCTCTCCTCTCCCTGAAAGAACCAGGGATGGCCCGTGCTGTCCAAAGAGCAGCTCTCCAGCAAAGAACGGTCATCAGCAACCCACCACCTGCCACTCAGGCCGGTCACCTGCGTCAGGCCCAGGGCGCTGACTTGGCTGAAATTCTCCTCACAGTGCCACAGCCTAGCCACGCACAGTGCTCAGGGGCTAGGGGCTGGGCGAGAATTACTGGTAAGGCAGGGGTACTTTTTCTTATCAGCCTTTGCTGAGATCATTTGGAAACGCAGTCTTGACCACCTGGAGACACAACTGGATTGATCTCCTTTGATGCTGCAGTGACTTTCGGGAACTTCAGGTCATCAGTCTGAAGAGCCAGGAGCACTGTTCAGTGTGTTAGGAAGTTTCACAGAACGTGGCCCTAGGAAGGTGGATTGTGGGATCTCTGAGGCCTCCTGGATCTCCAGATCTTGGCCTTGGTGTATACTCTAGGTCTTGCTTCTGGCAAACCCTGAGGTTATTTCTGGGATTTGAAAGACCACCTTGGACTCAGCCTGTTGAGACGCATGCTAAATAGGGCTGAGATCTGCACACTAGGGCCAGTCCCCCTGGGCTTGAATCCTGGCTGCCACTTACTAGCTGTGTGACTCTGGACTAATTGCTTGATCTCTCTACGCCACTGTTTTGTCATCTGTGTAAAAGAGGATAATAACATTAGGTAGAACCACATGAAACTGCTGATCTCTGACCATGTCTGACTTATAAAAATGGCCATTTCACATGCTTCAACTCTATCCCTGTGGCACAGGGCTGTTGCAAGAATTAAGTGACTTACTCACCCCTAGTAAGTGCTTGATGAACATTTGCCTCTTTTTCATAAAGATAAATAGGAGAGAGAAAAAAAAAAAGCAAACTAAGGGGACACAGAGCATAGAAACAGCATCTAGCAGAGCTAAGCAGAGGTCCAGAGCTCCCACCCAGATTCAAGCAAAGACTTAACATAAAACCCATAGAATATTGGAGAGTTAAAGGTAGAGATAGAAAGGGACTCTAGGAATCAGAGAGGATGGAAGAATGAGGGCAGGAACAAGCCATGGGGAGCTCAAAATCCAGAGAGTTAACAACGCTTTTCTTCCATGGGTTGACTGAGGTGTCTGGCACCGTGGCGATTGGCTGGCGGCACCAGGAACTGGCCAGCTTCGGCAAGCCCATTGCCCTGGGGCTGCGTGTGGCAGGGAGAGGGACTCTTATTCGGCTCCAAGTGCCCAGGCAGAGCTGATCATCTAAGCCACAAAGGAAGAGGTCAGAGGCTCCCAGCTGGCGTCCCCAGATGCAATGTGTCCTCTGAGGTCCCTGTGGATGCCTCTCCCCATATCTCTCAGCACATAAGTATACCACACACTTATATTTGTATCTCTCCTTTGGGCTGGTCGTATATCAGCTCAGTGACCTGAGTCTGGCCATGCCATGTAGACAAAAAGCTCTAATCAGCAGCTATTTATTGATATATTGGAGGTGGGGGGAGGGAGACCTTTCAAAGCCTGGAGAGCATTTGGTGAAGAGTAATGCTATAGTGGGAAGATAAAAGCCTCTCGCCTCAGGTACACTGGCTCAAGTGGGCATTCTCACCTCCCACTCTTCAGAAATTGGAACGGAGGGGAAGTCTCCAGCCAGACTTGGCCTCTGGATGAGAGAGTGTTCTAGAGAGGAGGGAGTGTCCCTGAATGGGGCTGCATCTCTGGGAGAGACTACGTGGCCAGAGTCCCAGGGAGCAGAGAGAAAGGGAGTCAGGTTAGGATGCCTGCAAAGCTGTGGCCCCCCCATCAGGCTGGAGTGTGGCAGTCCCAGGCCACGGGGACTAAGAGGCACAAGGACTCTCTGCTGGCTCAAGTCGCTTTCCCAGGACCAGATGTCTGAGCTTGTAAATGTCCTTCTTTTCAGCCTGCTAGGTTTTTCTGTGTTTATTTTCTGTTAGTTTCCCCCTGGTTTCAAAACAAATCACCTTTGAAACATTCCAGCCTGCCTCAGAGGGGCCGGAGGATAAGGGTCCGGGGGTTGCTACCCACCCGGGTGGCTAGAAGGGGTTCGATTCCAGGGGCAAGATCCTCTAGGCGGATTAAAACTCAGGGGCGGGGGGAGGGGAGTGGGAGGCCCCCTCCTACCTGGGAGGTGACAGGTATGCTTAGACTCTGGGGACCAAGCTATCCTGGTTAGAATCCTTACCTTATCGCTAGCTGTGTGACCTTGATCAAGGTACCTAACCTCTCTGTGCCTCAGTTTTGCAGTCTCTACCACGAGGATAATAACTCCTTCCTCACCCCCAGGGTGTAGAGGGGTTCGATGGCTGAACTGTATGAAATTGGTGCTTTGGCTGTTCCAAGACAAATGTCAGCAGTTTCATGCATTTCAGCCTATATCCAGTTAACCAGCGCTCGGCACCTGCGAAGCCCTCATTCTCATGGCCGGCAGCTGCTCCTCACTATGCGTCAGATAACGGTGTTACACGTTCTACACGTAAAGCTCGTTTAATCCTCTCAGCTCTGCTGTAAGGCAGGATCTACTATTATTCCCATTCTTAGCTGAAAAACAGAGAGGCACAGAGAGCTCAAGCAACTTGCACAGGGCTGCAATGCCAACCGGCCACACTGGGGCTTGTGCCCAGGCAGTCCCAGGCCAGAGCCCACGTTCTTATTATCATCACGCCTGACAGCCTCTGGTAGCTATTACCCATTAGCTATTTTTTTTTAAAATGTTTTTTAATTTATTTCTAGGAGAGAGAGAGAGACAGCGTGAGCAGGGGAGGGTCAGAGAGAGAGGGAGTGACAGGCTCTGAAACAGGCTCCAGGCTCTGAGCTGGCAGTCAGCACAGAGCCCGACATGGGGCTCGAACCCACGAACCGCGAGATCATGACCTAAGCGAAAGTTGGACGCTTAACCGACTAAGCCACCCAGACACCCCTATTACCCATTAGCTATTTCCAGGGAGCCTTCCTCTGGACTCCCGAGCTCCACCCTAGAAAAGCTCCAATTCGGCATCAGCAAAGGGGTGTTCCTTTTCACATTGCAGCCCAGCCCGTCTGCAAGGCCCCCCTGGGGCGGGCAGGGCTGCCTCTTACCGCCTCCGTTTTTCTGGCACAGGTAGGGGAACCTCCAGATGTTGCCCAGGCCCACGGAGAACCCAATCTGGGCCAGGATGTACTGCAGCTTGCTGTTCCAGGCCGGCCGATCCTCTGTGTCCAGCTCCTCCTCCGCCGCCGCCTTCTGTTTGCCACCTGCCTCACCTGCCACGTTCAGGACGCTCTGCTTGTAGTCCACCGGCTCCTCGAGGGCCAGCAGGTCGGCCACTGACTCCGTGACATGCTCATTGCTGTGCTCGCGCTGGGTCACCTTGCTGTTCTTCGGCATTGGTGCCACCTGGGCCACGCAGCCCCGCTCCCCAGCACTCAGAGAAGGTGGGACTCGGCTGTCGTCAGCTCCTCCTCATCCAGGGACCTGGGAGACCGGGTGAGCAGGAGAGGATCAGCGGACCGCACCAGAGAGGTGGGGAGCCCAAGCGGACATAGATCGGCCATCACGCTGGGGCACACACTTGGAGGCCGGGCAGTGAGTGGCCTGGAGTGTGGGGCTTGCCTTTCTCCCCATCAGAGGGAACCCACCGAGGAGCTCAAAGTGCAGACTCAGTTTCCCCACAGGCCCTGTCCGAGCATCACCGAAAGGTAAACTTAGTGGCATAGAAGAGGCCAAACCAGACACCAAACCCAAATAAAGGGCCTCCCGTGATGACACTGCCCCTCTCATAACTGCGTATCCTGAAGTGTTCAAGACCCTTCAGGCCCCCATGGCCCTCACCCCCCAGGGCGGTGCAGATCTGTGGCCAAGTCCCAGCCCTCCTGAGCTCTATGCAGCCAACCCATCTGGTGGGATCCGGGGAAATCGGCGTCTGCCTTCTCTGGGGTCTTTCTATTCAAAATACAGTTCACGGGCCAGCAGCATCGTGGGGAGTTTGTTAGGAATGCAGAGGGCGGGGCACCTGGGTGGCTCAGTCGGTTAAGATCTCACGTTTCATGGGTTCGAGCCCCACATCAGGCTCTGTGTTGACAGCCAGCTCAGAGCCTGGAGCCTGCTTCAGATTCTGCATCTCCCTCTCTCTCTGTCTGACCCTTCCCTGCTCACGCTGTCTCTCTCTCTCAGAAATAAATTTTTTAAAAACATTAAAAGAAAAGAAAAGAAAAGAAAAGAAAAGAAAAGACAAGGAAAGAAATGCAGAGGGCACCGGGGTGGCTCATTTGGTTAAGCGTTGGACTCTTGGTTTAAGCCCAGGTTGTGATGTCACGGTTCGTGGGTTCCAGCCCCATGTTGGACTCTGCTGACAGTGTGGAGCCTCCTTGGGATTCTCTCTCTCTTCCTCTCTCTCTTCCTCTCTCTCTCTCTCTCCCTCTTCCTCTGCCTCTCCCCTGCTCTCTCTCTCTCTCAAAAGTAAATAAATTAAAACTTAAAAAAAAGAAAAATGCAGAATGCCAGGCCCACCCCCAGACCTACCGAACCATTCTCTGTATTTTACAGAATGCTTAAGTGATTTAAAGAGACTTTTAAAGCTTGCAAAACAAACCAAAAGAAAAGAAAAAACAAACAAAACAAAAGCAACCAACCAAACCAAAACAAAGTAAAACAATAAAACATAAAGAAAACAAAAAACCCAAAACGTTACAGCTCTCAGCACGGAGACCCTGAACACCAGCCCCTCGTCCAAGCCCTTCATTCCCCAGGCAGGAACGCTGAACTGGTTCTGCTAAGGATTTGGGCACCACAGCCCTAGAGGTATTTGCTTAGTGCCAACAAATGCTGGGTCATCGCTCAGCACTGACATTATCTGAGGGCCACTGCAGCCAAGAGCCAGTCCTCCATCCTCTGGTGACAGTTTTACAGCAGATAATGTCTGCTCGATGCGGGCGGGGGAGGCAAATCCCTCCCCTGCTCCTGCCATCCCTCATCCGTCTTTCCTGCTTTCGCTTAAAGAAATAAAGCACCAAGGAAATAAGCCCTTTGAAGGATATCAACACGCTGCTGTGTTTCAAAGCACCTCCTCGTTAAGAGGAGGTTGGAGGATTTAAAATTAAACACATGCACAGCCCAGCCTGCAGTTGCCCTGCATCTTTCTAGGGATGTAAATTACCCAGCTGGGTAATCACTTTACTAAGGAAAGGAGCCTCTGGAAGTCTGTTCGTCTCATATGTGCCATCGGAACAGCAACTGGCAATGGCACTGTGCAGCAGAAGCTTGACCCGGACCCCCTGGCTGCCTCCAGGAATGACCCAAACGTCAAGGGGACCTGGTCAGCTGGATCCCATCACACGTGTAGTGAAGCCAGGACACCCGGCAGATGGGGACTGTCCACGCCAGTCTGTGCAGTTAGCCAGCCCTCCCTGGGCCAGGCCTGGGCCCACAGCAGCAGGTGACACCTCTCTGCTTTCCTCTTGCAAGGGAAACCGTGAGTCTGTAGTGACTACCCCTTCCAACCCAGGAATGGTCAAGGTCTTGGGCTTTGGAGTAACTGAGACAGAACCCGCCTGCCAAAAAGAGATCAGAATTCCATATAAGAAACTCAGCTCTCTGTTGGGACTCCACTTCACACTGGGTCAGCCAAACATTCCACTGTGTCCCGGAGGGAATGTGTGTCTGGGGACCTTTCAGCCCTGCGCCTCCTGCCCACACCACATAAGGGAACGGTGCCCCTAGCAGTTATGTAGTGGGGAGGCTGTTCTTGCCTGGGCTGCGGGGATGAGCCCTTTCCCCGTCCCCGGTGAGCAGATCCCGGTGCCCAGGGCACTCAAGTGGAGAAAGCCTAGGGCACACGCGATGGCTGTTTGTCTGGCTACCCCATCTCCCATAAAGCTTGAACAAGAGTTTCTTTTTTTAAGTTTACTTATTTACTTTGAGAGAGAAAGAGAGAGAGAGAGAGCACACTGGAGAGGGCCAGAGACAGGAAGAATCCCAAGCAGCCCCTGCACTGCCAGCATGGAGCCCTATGTGGGGCTTAAACTCACAAACCTTGAGATCATGACCTGAGCCGAAATCCAGAATTGGACACTTAACCCAATCAGCTACTCTGGTGCCCCTGAAACAAGAGTTTTTATTAAAAACTAGAACTGGAGGCCAGCACTGGGGGTGGGAGGCATCTGAGTGGCTCAGTGGGTTAAGCATCCGACTCTGGATTTCGGCTCAGGCCATGATCTCACGGTGTATAAGTCTGAGCCCCACATCGGGCTTTCTGCTGTCAGCACAGAGCCTGCTTCAGACCCTCTGTCCTTCTCTCTCTCCCTCTCTCTCTCTCTCAAAAATAAATAAGCATTAAAAACAAAAGTCTCGAGCTGGGGAGAAGGGTTGGGGTCCGTCTGGAGGCTGCGGGTCCCAGGGTGCCAGCTCAGAGCCTGTCTCCAGGGACTCCACCTGCGGTGGGATTCAATGAAAACAGCCTGCAGTGCATTAAGTATGATTTACTGCTCGTCATCCCGCCGCTGGAGAAAACCAAAGGGGATTCCCGCAAGTCTGCAGAATTTATCCTGATGCTGACCAACTGGGGACGTGCTTTCCCATAAATAGCCCGGAGAGTGGCAGCTCTCGTCACCAACAGGATAAAGGCTGTGGGAGGGAAGAGCGTCATTTAGACTAGAAGGACTCAAGGACAAAACCAGCACATTCTGGTAAAGCCGCAGCAGCGTCCCAGAGACCACATTGGGAGCGTCTTCCTTCTTCCCAAGATGCGTGCGAGCGCCCTGCATCACGGGGTGGGTGTCCGGGGCCTCCTGTGCCGTCAGGTTTGCGGGACGAAAAGTGCAAATTTCCAAGCGGAGGCACAGAGATGAGCTGCAATCATGACTGGAACCTTCTGTGTCCGTGAACACGCTCAGGTGACAAGAGTGACACTTAGAATATTAAAGCTCGAGGGGCCCTAGCAATATTCTCACTTTATGTGTGAGGAGACTGAGGCCTAGAGAGGAAGCTGATTGCCTAAAGCCACTGGGTCAGACTCAGCAGAGAAGTGGGAAACGGGACGAAGACAGCGGTGGTGAGGGCAGGGGCTCTACAATCAGAGGGACCTGGGTTCTAGATCTCCCATTTCTTTCATTCAGTCGTTCATTCTCTCACTCACTTGACATCCATTTGCCAAGTCCCCTCTCTGTACCAGGCTCTGTTCTAGCTTTTTCAGGGAGAGAGCAGCAAACAAAATAAGCAAAGTGTTTCCCCTCGTGGGGTTTATGTTTTCTATGGAAGGGCCAGATACTAAGGAAAGAAACAAACACACAATGGTCAGTGGTGATACAAGATATAAAGAGAAGTAACATGGCGTTGGGGTAGAGGGCCATGTTGCTAACTGAAGGGTTGCTATTTTATGGTCCAGGAAGGCATCCCTGAGGAGGGGACATGTGAGCAGAGGCACTCAGGAAATGCATGTCGAGCAAATGAGTGAATGAATAAATGGGAATGCTCAGCCCCTGGCCTGTCTTCAAAGTCCCTGCCCTCCACCCCTGCAACTGGCCATAAGGGCTCTGGCTGGTGCTCTGAGAGAGGTGGGTGGCCGCTTCGCTTGGTGTCATGCCTCTCAGGGGTAAAGAGGGTCTCATAGTGACAGCTGCCTCCTCCAAGGGAGGGCTGCCCTGGGGACTCAGTGAGCAGGCACATTCGAAGTACCCAGCACAGGGCCTGGCCCCAGGAAGGACCTTGCTCCTGGGAAGCCTTGCATTGTTTGCTGGTTTTGTTTTTTTTTTTCACTTAAAAATATGTAAGCCCCCCTATTTATATTTGGTCACATAAATGCCAAAAGCCAAAGTGAGTTTGTGGCAGAAGTGGGGTGGGGGTGGAGAGAAGCGTTTTCTAACAAAACCACCTCAGAAATGTCCCTTTTTGTTAGCCAGAGCTGGCACTACCCTGAGGCTGGGGGGGCAGCACCCCACGAGGCCCAGCCCCCCACCTCACTCTGCGCCAAAGGGAAGCAGGTAAAAGCCAAGTCTTGGGTCTAAAGATCAGCAACATTATTATTAATAAAAAACATGGCCTCAGAGTAAAGTCTAGCAATATTATTAGTCACACTGTAGGTCATATGTGGAATAGTTTGAAATCACTTGCAAGCATGTTTTACTCAGTATCCTCGCACGGGATGGGGTGGCCACACTGCTCAGAAGCCAGAGTGCGTGGGTTCGAATCCCAGCTCCATGCTCGCCCACTGCCTGGCCTCGCAGCTTTCTCAAGGCCACCGAGCTCCACTTCCACGGCTGTCAGAGGAGGACAGTGGTGCCCACCTCACAACGTTGTGGAGACAGCAGGTCTCACGGGTCTCAGAAGCTGCGCAGGAGCCCAGCAAGCGCACACAAACATCGCCTCTCCTTGTCATCTCACTGGACTCACAGCCAGCCCGGGAAGCGAGCGAGGCAGCTGTGCCCCAGGGCAGGACGGCACCTGGCTCGTATCACGGGGCTGTCAGCTCCCAAGTCTCC